TGACCTCCACAAGCCCCTGCTCAAGGGCCACAGTGCTTCTTCAGGTCTCACTGAAACAGCATACAAGATACCCAGAAAGTCTGATTGCTTCGTTTCCCCCAGTATACAGTTACCTTTGTAAAAAGCTGTAGGCCCTTCTAAGGATGGACTGGAAAAAGGCTAAAAATAAAGCTTATAGGTACTTTAAAAAGGGGAACCTGGCCTTCCGTTCAAGGGATTCTGGGTCTACAAACTGACTCAAGTCTGAAGTTGGTTCACAGGCCTAGATTCCTTCTTGCTACCATCCAATGGAGCCTTTCTAGGTTTTGTTTGAGAATTTTCTGAGCAGCAACACTAAGGTCTGGAACAGAAAGAGAAGGTAACAACAAATGTCTTGCAGTGTGCTGGTGCCCCTCACCGTGTTATAGGATTAATGAAGCGCATGTTTCCTAGGCCTTCCTATTGTGGAAGACTAGGTTTTATACTGTGTACCTACTTTTGTTTGGTTTTTCAAGACAGAGTTTTTCTGTGTAGCCCTGGGTGTCCTGGAACTTTCTCTGTAGACCACCTGCTCTGCCTCCTGAGTCCTGGGATTAGAGGTGTGCACCACCACTGCCTGGCTACACCATTTATTTATTTGTTAATAAATGTGTGAGCTTCCATATTAAACTAAGACTGTCCACTTAGTGGGCCCATGTCAGTAAACTCAGCCTGATCCAGTTCTATATTCCTTGCACCGTCATCCCTTACCCTCCTCCCACCCCCATTGTTTTTTCAAGACAAGGCTTCTCTGTTGTAGCTTTGGCTGTTTTGAAACTTGATCTGTAGACTAGGCTAGCCTTAAACTCACAGAGATCCACCTGCTGTTGCCTCCCAAGGGCTGGGTTTTCACCAAGGGCTGTCGTTTGCTACCATTGTCCAAGCACATCCCACACCCTCAAAATCCATTCCCACACATCTTCCCCAGACTTCTGCTTGAATAAATTAGCAGACTCACTAAGCTCTTTAATGGTGTGGTGTGCCTCCTTGTGGACTACACTTTGTATCTCCCTCTAGGAGCCTTAAGTCTAGAGGTAACTACTGATGGGCCCTGAAGGACATCCCTACTGTCTTGCCTGGCATCTCCTTCAGGAAAAGCCACTGCTAGTTTTGTGGATAAGACTCCATTTCCTTAGGTGAAGGCTGATAAGCCAGTACTTCGGGCAGTTGGGATGTATCTTCTGATAACAGTAGAGAGACCTCTTCCCCAGGAAAGGTAAACTCTTGAGAATCTGAAGGTTCAGAATTCTCAGCCTCAATAGTGTCCTCCTATATATCTCTATCCCTCGGTAAAGGAGTCCATTCTTCACCAATTAAATGTTCTTTAACTACTGACAGTTGTCAACTGCTGTGCTGGGAACTGAGCCTGGGTCCTCTGGAAGAACAGCAAATGCTCTTAACTGCTGACCCATCTCTCCAGTCCATGGAATTCAGCTAATCTTATAACAAGGGCTCGGGTTTGATTTTCCATAACTTGAGCTCTGTGGCTTTGACATTTTGAAACGTGTAGGCTGTTTATGCCCATCAGTTTTATTGATGAGTTCATTGTTGTTCATCACCATATTCTCTGATGCTAGAAGCTGGTTCATTTTATCACGGAGCTCACTATTTTCCTTTGTCAGTTTATCCAGAGATGCTAGCAATGACCAACTAGCATCATTATTTTCCCACAAATTGTCAACTTTATACAGTCACTAAATTCATTGCTTCTTACAATAGTGAATCAGTATAATCAAATGCATGTCTCTTGAAGTTTGTAAAATGGTTCACACCATGGATTTTTACTGTTCTCTAAGTTTCTAGGAGAGGCTTCAGTAACTAGGTGTCAGAAAGCTGGAAAGCATATTCGAGATACTTAAAAAATTCATCCTTATAGTTCTGTTGCTCTAGTACCAAAATATGTATTAGGGTTCTCTAGAGGAACAGAACTAGTAGAATTACTATGAATATATACTTATGTATATGGGGATGAATATATACATATAATATACATATATATGTATATACATATATATATATGTATAATGTGTGTGTGTAATTTATTGGCTTATAGGCTCTGGCCTGGCTAGTGTAACAATGGTTGTCTCCTAATGGACAAGAATCCAATAGATGTTCAGTCTACAAGGCTGTCTGTCTCAAATGGTCTTTAGAATACACTGGAATCCTGAAGAAGTAGGCTCTAATACCAGTGAAGAAATGAATTTACCAATGATGGTGAAGATAGATGAAGAGCAAGAGCTTTCTTCCATATCCTTCATATAGACTGCCACCAGATTTAAAATAGGTCTTCCCACTTCAGGTGGTCCCATCAATGTGCCCAGTAGCTTGGATTTTAGTTTGTTCCAGATGTAGTCAAGTTGACAACCAAGAATAGCCATGACAGTCATCATTCCACTTTAGAATCTAGACAAGTGGCTGGAATCTGTGTCACGTGTCCATGCTTGGCTGTACCTATGCGTCTAGGCCAAGAAGGGCGTGTGACCAGAGACCTAGGTGTGTGTGTCTGTGTGTATCTAAGTATGCATCACCATCTGTAAAGTAGGATTATAATTGTACCTGTGCACCTGCATTATGGGGGCAGGTCAGAGGAAACTGCCCAAGAAACAGCCAGGCTAGGAGGAGAAAAGGACTTCACATACAAGCACGTGAGTGCACATCAGCTCCTGGTGTCTGCCGAGAGCTCTAAGACTGTTTTGCTTGTATGTAAGTTACGTGGACCACATGTATGCCTGTGGAGGTCAGAAGGTTCAGATCCCTTAGAACTGGAGTCACAAGTGGTTGTGAGCCACCATAGGGGGACAGAAGCCAGGACTTGTGCAAGAGCAAGTGTTCCTTACCACAGAACCGTCTCCCCATCCCCTTCATTTTGTTCAGACAGGGTTTCACTGTGTAGCCCAGGCTGCCCTGACTGATGGTCTTGCCTCAGCTTTGCACATACTGAAATTACAGGCCTGTAATACCAAGCTCATCCAACCTTGGAGTGTTTAGTGCACATTCCCAGGACTGAGGGAACTACACTGAGCATCTTTCTGCCCGACAATTGAATCACACCACTCTATCACTTCAAGAAATCTTAATTTCTTTATTGTTTGACTTTTTTGACTCAACATTTTTTTTAAAACTTTTTGTTTTTTTCTGAAACGTTCTTATGAGCCTTTTGTTTTATTCTCGTTAAATGCACTCGACCCAAAATTGGTTTGGCATATCGAAAAGGAGACCAAGGAGGGGAGGGAGTGGGGTGTGGGAGCAGGGAGGAGGCCCAAATGGACTAAGAAATTGAGAATGAGAGAGAGGAACATAGAGACAGCAAAAAAGGACACAAATAAGTTGAATAGCTAGGAAAACCCAAAAGAAAAAAAACTTAGAGAAAAAGAATGAGCAAGATTTAGGAGCAAATGAATTCAGGAGCCCAAGGGAGGGAGGAGCCCAAGACCCTTCTCTGTACCGTCCCCGCTGTGGTGGGGGCGTCAAGGCACCAGGTCTGGTTAGGGTAGGGGACACCTGGGCTCTCTGGGTGGCTTTACGCTGGATTGTAGTGGATCCAGCCCCACTTGGGGACCTGCCATGTAGCTCTGAGGCCTGGGAGTGAGTTACTCCCTGTGCTAGTGATTCCAGCTCGAGCAGGAACCATGGGCCCACTACACTACACCCTACCCTCCACAGCTCACATTTGGAGAAGGGCTGTATAGGGAAAGAGGGCGCAGGACTCCTGTGCCTGCCAATCCCCAGCAGCTCTTCACCCCACATCTTCCAGGTTTATTGGTGTCTGATGGCCTCAGGCCTGGGCTGAGTCAAGTCCTCTGGCTCGTAGGCCAGCCACAGCAAGGTCCAGATCCAGTGAAGTTAGGCAAGGGCTATGAGCCACTTTATGTTCTCTTCATACCTGCCTGGCAAGACTGTCCCCGGTCCTGTCTCCTCTTCCCTATCTAGACTTCACCCTTGGTCTTCTGGCAAGACAGGCTAAAACATTACCAGAAAAAACCAGAGATGGAATAAACCCTGCCTTTTCACATCTGTTCCCCTCCATGGGGCAAACCATTATCTTTGGTCTGGCCCCTTTCCCCCTCATTGATTGGGGACAAGCCAGTCCCAGCTCCTTAGAAGGGAGAGGGCTTTCTAGCAGCAAAAAGGGTCCTTCCAGCCACTCATCCATCTCCTTGTCTCCTTCCTAGAGTCCCTCCCCCATAACCCAAAGAAGCTCATGGCAGCAGCAAGCTGAGACCCAAGGATGCTTGAAAACTCATGGCACTTGTGAGGAAGGAGGCAGGGAATAGACAGGATGAAGTCAGCGGAGGTTGCCACTTCTGGAAGATGGCAGCAGGATTATGCTACCCCCAAAAAACTGGGGGGAGGCCAGGCCAGGCCGGAGGTGCTTAGCAGACACTCTAAGCCTGCCAGAGGTCTTGGGATGGGGGGTGGGGGAAGGAAAATGAACCTCTCACCTTTGCCCCCCACCCCTGAAATGACATTGCCATCCTACCCTCAGCCCCAGGGACCGCTCTCTGACCTCCACTCCTTTCCCTTGCCCTTCTCAGGATGGGACACCAGCCTCTTCCTGCCTGCCATGAGTCCCGAAGTGATAGACAAGAAGCAGGAACTCAAAGGGGTAGTGCAGCCATCTTGGCAAAAACATCTTTGGGTGTGAAGATGTCTCCTGGCCAGTGGGGCAGGGGAGACAGGCCTCTGGCCCTGGGGCAGGCAGTGAGGTACACGCCCCAGGAGGGCTGACTGATGCAGGGAGGACAGAGCAGAGGTGAAAGGACCAGTGCTGAGAAGGACAGGTTCTTTGTTTCGCTGTTGCTTCTAGATTTGTTTTGTCTCTGGAGTGTAAAAAGCTGCTCTGGCGGCTGCCCACCCCGGTTGGGATGTACACATACAGGAAGTCCTGGCTGCCAGGGCTGGCCGCTGCTCTGTTCCGGAGAAAGTCCGGGCTGGCCTGGGCCGCAGGTGCCCGGTGGCTTCAAGTGATGAGATTTTCTTACTTTTTTTTTTTTTGTCTTTTTTTTTCCTTTTCCATTTTGTTGAAATATTTACAGCAATAGGGGAGGAAAAGAGAGGGATAAGAGGACCCCCTAGGGAAAGATCCAAACCCAGGACCCACTCCTCAGGGAGCCCCAGACCCCAAATCTGCTCCCCAGATAGCCCAGCCCACAGGACTGGGAACTGCCCAAATATGGCCACTCCAGTGGGTTAGGGGCCCTGCGGGAGTTGTGCTTCATCAGGAGTCACCCCAAGGGAGGGGGTCATTGGGTGCACTCTGGGGGTTGAGGGGCAGGCTTGCTTGGGAGACAGGGACCAATAGCGAGGGAGAAAGGAGCTTCAGAGAAAGTTCCACCATTAACCACCAGCTTCCACAGCCCCATCCCCTGGGCCTGGGCTTTCTTGTGGTGCAAGGCCCAGTCTCCAGGAAGCAAGGACTGTAGCGTGAAGGATCCTATCGTCTGTCCCACTGACCCACTGTTCCTTTCTGGTGGACGGAGAAGAGTGAGCAGCAGATAGGGTGGACGCGGCAAGGCTTTGGCCACCTCAGAAGCGGCAACCCCCTAACACACTTAGGGAAGCCTTGCCCCTTCCTTTCTCCCTCCACTGGCAGGGAGCTTCAGAAGTTGGTCACACCTACCAGCTTCTCCTTCGCTCCCAGGGCCCTGGGGGCTTCTCCTCAATGCACTCCCCTAGAGAGGCTGGGGCTTGTGGCTGGTGGAAACCCTGTCTACTAACCCTGGTACCTGGGGCCCAGGTCATAGTCCCCAAGGGGACCGCGGGGCCCACAGGCAGAGGGGCACCTGGAGAGAGTGGCCCACCAGCCACTGCCTCCGTCAGTCTCTGCTCCCACCAGAGCCCCTCCTGGGTTCCCTCCCTGGCCAGGCCTCTGGTCCATGAGGCCCCTCAGAGACTAGTGACCAACTGCATCTGCCCGTCCCCATCGGGCCCTGGCCCCTCGAGGCTCGGGGCTGCCAGGTAGCCCTCATGGCTGGGCCGCCGCACCTGGTAGTAGCCCTGTAGGGGATTCCGAGCCACCAGGGCCGGTGGGCGAGAGGTGTAGTAGATTTCCGGGGGCCCAGGGGGAGCAGGTGGAGGTGGGGGCAGGGCCTCGCTGGGCCCTTCGGGGCTGCTGTCCGGGTAGGAGGGCGAGTCCCGCAGGTTGGCCCCGCTGGCATAGAGGGAGTCCCGGCCGGGAGGGGAGGAGAGGGGCCGGCTGGTGGCCCCATCCTCTGCCGTACAGCTTTCTGACTCATCCAGATCACTCTGGTACAGCACCGACTGGGCCCGGGGCAGCAGCAGTGGCTCCTCCAGGGCCTTGTAGAGAAGTTCAATCTCTGCCCGGTCAGCACCACCCGGCCCACCAGCCTCGTCCTCACTGACCCCTGGCACAGGCGGCACAGGAGGCTCTGGTGGAGGCCCTTTGGCCCCCCCACTGGCCCCCCGCAGGTTGTTGTGCACCAGCTCTGAGATGATCATCTTCTCAAAGGCAGCAGCATCGGCCAGGTTCCGGCCTCGGGGCGGCTCAGGACCCCCATCTCCTGGAGGGAAATCACCACTTCGCAAGGAGTAGCTGTTGTTGAAGTTGCCGTTAAGGGGCAGGGTGTCCATGCCACAGGCTTCCCGGCCTCCCAAGGGGTGCTCTGCAGGGCAGAGGGAGCAATAAGGATGGGCCTGGTTGGATAGGTAGGCAAAGGAGCTGAGGGGTCTGTCCCAGGGTCACTTTCCTCTTCCTCAGCTGCAGTGGGGTCTGCCAATTAGTAATAGGACCTATTCCCCAGGGTCTTTTGAGTTCTTAAGTTTCAGAACTTCAAGTGGATCCCTGTGTCTCCAGGTACACCCCCTAGGCTTGACCCCTCACTGTCACTTTCTGCCTGAGGGCTCCACCTGGCCACCACGTCAGAGCCTGTGGGTAGGGGCACCCCAAATGTACAGTCCATATGAGAGGCTACAGAAGGCTACTGCCTTGTTCCCATCCCCCTTTGGATGTGCTTCCAGGAAGCAGTGGTACTTACTGGGTTCCCTGTAGCTTCCTGTAGACGCCAGCCCACAGAAGAAAAGATAAGAATGAGTTAGGCAGAGGCCCCTTAGGACCTGCCCTTGGGGCCTCCCAACCTGGGACTCTGCTCTTCCCTGGATGCCAGGCAGCCTAATTGTCCTCACCTGGGGAGTTGAAGACTGGGGGCGAAGAGGGGTTGAAGCCCACAGACTCTGCAATGAGGGTATTGTATGGGCTAGTGCCTCCACGGGGCTGGAGCACAGGGTTGGTCAGGAGGTGGTTCCCCATGGTACCTGCCCAAGGGAGGGATAAAAGATTACAAGGCAGCCCACAGACCTGGGGTGGGGGAGCTTCTGAGAGAGGAAGCAGTGCTGGGGGAGGGGGTGGGGGAGTGAGGAACTCACCTCGGTTCAGGGTGGGGGTGCTGTTGATGTCACCTGCCATAAAGGAAGACTCTGTCTGCTTCCTCACGGTGTCATTCCACATCCTCCGGATCCGGCTCTGGGGACACAGCCCAAACATGAGGGGATCTCTAGGGCCACTCTGCCCTCCGGGGTCTTTCTGAGACTCTGGCAGTGCACTCCTGCCTCTTGGCCCCAGAGAGACCTGGTGGATATGCCTTCCCTGCCCGGGTACCTGGGTCCCTGTGTAGTATCGGGTGTTACTTCGCATGGCTGAGGTCTTAAGGGAGCCGTGAGTGCCCCCAGGGGGGGAGCGGATGCAGCAGTAGGAGTGGCGCAGGCACTTGCTGTACTCCTTGTGCACCTGTGTGACAGGGGACAGTTAGCTGGCAGTGTCACTCTCAGAACCTGCTACCTAGACTGACTGTCATCTTAGTGGTGGCAGGTCACCGGAACTTGGGCCCATAATCTTTTCTCCACTATCAACTTTCTTATTCATCCCTTCATCCTCTGACTACATGCATCTTTAAGGAACATGTACTATCTGCCAGACAAAGGGAACAAATGTTCTCCGGGTCCTCCTGCCCCTCCCTCCCCTGTGCTAGGATTTTAGGCATGCACCACAATGCTTGTCATGTGGTACTAGGTCTGGAACCCAGACTCATGTAAGCCAGACAAGCACTTGACCAACTGAGCTATGTCTTCATCTTAAGACACACAGAGGGCATCAGATCCCATTCCAGATGGTTGTGAGCTACCATGTGGGGACTGAACTCAGGACCTCTGGAAGAGCAGTCCACAGTCTTCACCACTGAGCCATCTCTCCAGCCCATGACTTGTTTTAATTCTCCCTCATGTGTGGTCTTGTTGTTTTCTGAGACAGGTTTCTCTGTGTAGTCCTGGCTGTCCTAGAACTTGCTCTGTGGACCAGGCTAGCCTCCTCATAGAGATCTGCCCGCCTCTGCCTCCTGAGTGCTGGGATTCACGTGATGATAACCAGCGCCTGGCTCCTCATGTTTTTTACGCCTGAGCATGCATGTATACATCTGTGCAATGCCTCACAGCCAGACGACGGAGCCACTCGCACTGCTGAAGTAGGAAATCTTATACTATGGCTTCCAGTTGTCTGTCACCAAGGCCTGGCCTCATGACTCACAGGCCCACAGAACATCCACAGTGAGATGTGCTCTGTGCCACCACTCTTCTAGAAGCATCTTCCCTTCTGACTGAATACCCCCCACCCTGCCTCTAGTAAGACTCAGATGGTCCACATTAGAGAGCACCTGAGCCTCATCCTGGCCTCCCTCCCCTAATAGTCCACAGTGCCCCTGAGGAGAGCTCTACCACCCTCACCTTTTTCTGTAAGGCGCAGTGAAAGACAAAGATGAAGACCCCCTGGAAGGCGTTGAAGGTAGTGAAGAGATAGGCCATGACTACTGACTCCTTGTTGATGAAGAGGAGGCCAAAAGCCCAGGTGAGGCCCAGCAGGAAGAGCAGCGCAATGGCACCCAGAGCCCAGGACCTGGTGGCCAGGGGGACAGGCAGTCACAGTACTCACCAAGGAAGATGGCCCAGCCTCAAGCCTAAGGTTGAGGAGGTCTTAGGAAGGCCTGTTCCCTGCCAACTTCATCTTTTCAGCTAGATTCCCAGCCCACTAAAACTCTTTTGTGGCCTGTTTTCCAGGTGTCCTCAAACAGACTCACACTGACTTTGCGGTCGCAGGCCTGAAAGCTCAGGCTGGTGGATTGCTGCCTTTTCTGGCTTTGTTAAATAGGACCATCCCAGGTACAAATACCCTCTCACTGAAAACCCCACTGGACAGTACCAGTAATTCAAAGTGTTTCAGGAAACCGAGGTCCCCAGGGTTAGTGACTCACTTGATGTTGTCAAGGCGACTGGAGTCGGGCTTGAGCACTGACGAACTCCGGATCATCTTGTGCAGGGTCACCATGAGGAACACCAGGTTCACCTGGGTGGGAGGAGCACAGGGAAGTGGGCTCAGCCCGGGGCCCAACCCCTTCTCAGTGCCACCTTTGCCCACCATTGGCAGTTATTTGATATCATTGCTGTGAGGCCAAAGGTCGTGGCTCGGCATGAAACGGGCTTGGGCCATAACTGCAGGTTCATTGGCCTCAGTGCCAGGGAACACTGACTTAGTCATCCTGGTCTTTTAGCTGCTTTCCAGGCTGTGTGTGTGTGTGTGTGTGTGTGTGTGTGTGTGTGTGTGTGTGTGTAAGTGTAAGAGAGAGTGAGTGAGAGTGAGAGAGAGAGAGAGAGAGAGAGAGAGAGAGAGAGAAAGAGAGCAAGAGAGATATTAGAGATAGAACTGAGGGCCCTTTGCATCATGGGCAAATGTTCATCACTCAGTCATGCCCTGGCCCCTCTGCTTGGTGCTGACAGGTTTTACACCAGTGCCTTGTAAAGCTGGCAAGGGGCCTGGGGCTTACGGTCAGAACCAGCTTGAATGAAAGGAGCCCCAGTACTTGGGAGTGCCACTCACCACAATGACAAACGAGACGGGCCCAATGAAGCTCCAGATGAAGTAGTTATCCACCCTCAGCCAGCAGCTACAAAGAAAAACACCCAGAGTGGAAAGATGCCTGAAAGCCCAGCCACCCCACCCTGGCCCAAAGAAAGCCAAGAGCCAAGAAACTCAAGAGCCAAGAAGATGGAGGCCACAGGGACAACAGGGTGACTCACGCCTTTTCAGTGCCGTAGCTCCGGTAGTCAATGGCGGCTGCGATGCCGACCACCAGGGCTGGGAAGCAGTAGCCGCCCAGGTAATAGTACTTGGTGCGTGAGTACTCGCTCTCGAACACCTCCACCAGCAGCAGGTAGAGGTGCACACCCTCTAGGCACAGCCAGGAGAAGGCAGCCAGGAAAAAGTAGTGCAGCAGGCCCGCAAAGATAGGGCAGGCGACCTGGAAGGGCAGCTCGGTAAGCGGCTGCTCCCCGAGCTGCAGCCCTTCCCACTGCCTAGGCTCACCTAGGTGTGCCTCACCTCATATTGAGTTTTGTCTATTCCAACCAAGAAGAGCAGCTCCGCAAGGAAGAGGTTGATGCACAGGTTCTTGTGGATGGTGTTACGGTCTGTCTGTAGGCCCCGCAGGAAGCAGAAGGTGGAGATGCAGATAGCCAGACAGACCAGGGAGATGACAATGCCAACCCAGGTGATGACTGACAGCAGCAGCTCATTAATACGGCCTTGATACTGGGGACAGGAGAAGGGGGTACACTCAGGGCTTGGCCAGGTACCAGCTGAAGACAAGGACCCAGGCAAGGCTGTGGGCACAAGGCCCTCCAGTGCTGCCCAACCAGCCACCAAGCTGACCCCCACCCCTGTGCAGGCAGTGCGGGCTCACTTCCTCATGCTCTGGAAAGCTTGTGAAACCAATTGTTCCTCCAGAGTGCCTCAGGGGCAGAGAGAGCCAGGTGCAAGGCCTCATGCCCCAGGTAAGACTGGTGCCCCCCCCACCCCCTGTGCCCATGAGCTGGCTTTGTAGACATCGCCCATGCTGTGTGTTCTCTAGGATGCCATGCAAACCTAGGCCAGCAATAAGCAGGCCCGACCGGAGCAGCAGAGCACTGGCCAGCTTACGATCTCTCGGTGAGCCATGAGTACTGCGAAGTTGGTAAGGTGGCTGCAGGCACATGTGGTATGGGTCTTATTGGACTCCACCAGTCGGCAGCCCTGGGTTGACCAGTAGCCCAGCATGGAGCGCTCTGAGTAGTTCCAGAAGGAGCAGTTTGCATTGAAGTGGTTCTTGGCCTGTTATATAGTGGTGGACAGAGTGCAGAGATTGCAAGTTCTATTCTTGCCCTCATACCAGCTACAGGGACAGTGACAAGCATGCAGGAAGTGTCTGGGGGCGCCGAGGTGAACATCAGCTCCATGGTCCGAGCTGAAGCAAAGGAACTGAGACTTACTCTCAGCTGGGTGAATGCATGGTCGGGGATATGTAGTCTAGGAACAGAGGATGCTGGGAGCTTGAGGGGGACACCTGGGCTCACCTCCAAGTGGGCCACAGTAAAGATGACAGGGTCCATGAGGAAGACACGGCTGGACTCCTTATTGATAGATGCTGCAATGACCTGGGAGTTGACCACCAGGGAGGCACCTCCAGGGCCATTGGACCCTGCCTCACCTGCCAGCTTCACTGTGGCATTCTCCGTGGACAAGAAGAGGCCCAGGTTGTTGTAGAGAATGAAGACAACCTTCACCACACCTGAGGAAGATGGGCACAGGGAGATACAGTGGCTATCCTTAGCCACAGCCCTCTATTGGGGCTCCATGGCTCTCAGATACACCGAAACTGAGCAGTTACATGCCAAGCAGCTCAGAGGCCATTCCACAAGACGACTGTCTCTCAGTGGGCAGTTCAAATGACAGCACAGTGGCTGGTTCTCTCACTCATTTTACTTTTTTCTTTTTTTTTCTTTTTAATTTTTAAAGATTTATTTATTTTATGTATATGAGTACATTGCAGCTGTCTTCAGACATACCAGAAGAGGGCATCGAATCTCATTACAGAAGGTTGTGAGCTACCATGTAGCTGCTAGGAATTGAACCCAGGACCTCTGGAAGAGCAGCCAGAGCTCTTAACCTCTGAGCTATCTCTCCCGTCCCACGTTTACTTTTTGTACACCCTTGGGCAGGTCCCTGACCTCTCTGTGCCTCCATCTCAAATGGAGCCAGAACCCAGGCCTCTGCAGAGCACTGGAATATATATCCACACTAGTGGCCGATAAACCATGATTCAAACACGTGACTACTGTGTGCATATAGAACCAAGATCAAGGTGCAACGTGGGCAACACGCAGGCACACACAGACTCCACAGGACACTGACCATTGCGGCTGTTCTGCTTGATGGTGTTGGCGGACAGCTGGATGGAGTTCTCACTGGGATACTCCTGGGGGAATACCAACTCCTGGACTTGACCCTCCGTGTTCAGGACAGTTACCTCTAGGACTGTGTGGGCAGGGGAAGACATACTATCAGTGTCTATCCCCAGAGAGGGGTCATGCTAAACCATGAGGCTTTCAGCAAAACTACAGGCCCAGGAATTGGGAAACCAACACTGCCCCAGAGTTTGAGATTGACCCTGGAATAGCTGCAGTACTTACCCACGTTCTGCTTGGCAGCCAAGAAGCGAGCAGGTTCTCTGACATTGTCGGCCAGCAGGAAGGCGCCCTCCTCCAGGACATCTAGGAGCATGGTGGCTGTATGGACCTGTTCAGTGGCATTCATGTCTTTCCATGACTCAAGTGCCTCTGGCCGGAGCAAGTTGTCCACTGTCTCCACCACAGCCTGTGGATAGCAAGGACAAGAGAATGAATCTTTCATATCCTCTAGTTCCTTGCGACAGTCTTGATGTTCTCTCCTCTCCGTTCCATTCCCAAAGTTCCCAGGAAGCCAGGGCCCCCTCGTTCCCAAAGCTGGGCCTTCCTGGGCTCACCTTGATATAGTCCTTGCATGTTCTTTCTCGCTTGTGCATCTAGAGAAAGAAACGGAGGGAGTGACAGTGGAAACTGCAGACAGTGCTCTCCCTGGCCTTTTTAGATCCCTCTTCCAGAGGCCTTCCTCAGGAACCCGACCTCTCAGGACTACCCAGGGCAGTGCAGCAGCCCCTGGGGTCCCACGTCCCTCACTGGTCATGGTGGGGTGGCAGCAGGTGCAGAAACACAAGCCAGACCCTTCCTGTATGCCTACCTTATTGTAGTTCTTGCCGGCTGACTCGCGCTCAATGGGCCGCAGAGCCTGGAGCTGGGCATCCAGGATATCTAGCAGCTGCTCCATCAGCTTCACCGAGGAGGACACGTCCCCAGCATAGATGGAGCCCCGCGTGTGTCGGGCCAGCTCACTGGCAATGTTGGCCGCATTCTCTCCACTCTTGATCTACAGGAGGTGGGGGGAGGGGCCCTCAGGTCTGGTGGGCACCAGCCTGCACAGCTGCACCCTCTTGTCACATGCCCTGCCTGCACAGGCCACCTACTCCCTGTTGGCCTTCCCCACACAAGGGTTAGATAAGAAGAGAACCCTCGCCCTGGTTTTCAGCCCTGTGTGTCTCTCCAACTTTTCCCACTCCTCCTGCTGACCCTGGGTTCTGGCTGGCCTTCCTGCAGGGGGCAGCAGTCACTGTACCTTCTGGGCTACCTGGTTGACCCAGGGGGAAGTGCAGTTGCTGAGGTCAGGGCCCCGAGGGTTCCAGAGCCCCAGAGCTGGGAGGCACTGGAACGAGGCAATTCCTGTAGAGATACAAATAAAAAAAAAGGCCCAAGAGAAGGAGATGAAGAGGGGTCAAAGGGAAGGTTGAGTAGGAGAGGACACTTGAGAAAAGGCACGAGGCCCACCCTAGACTTCTCAGAGTTAGCCCCCCAGGCAAGATCCACAGTGGAGGGTTTTCCTCACTAAGCCTCTCCCAACGTTGTCTGGAGCCCCTAGAACACTGAGTTGTTCACTTGTCTCATGTCTGTCCTGAAACTGGCTATGCTTAGTCTGAGGAACTGAACACCTGCAGCTCCCCAGGTGCTAGGCTGCAGGCAGCACCCACAGAGCTAAGCCCTTCCAGTTCAGCCGTCACTCCAGCACTCACCTCGCGTTCCCTTGGGGCAAGGTCTCTCCACCAGCATACCCTGTTGGGTAGCTGGCCACTGGACCCGCCGGACCTCTCGGGGTTCACAGAAGAGCTCAGGGGATACATGTAGATTAGGGGCCGGAGGCCGGCGGGTACTGGGTGCTGGGGCTGTGGCTGGAGGCAGGTCAGGTCCCAGCTGGTTGATGGCACCCACTGGGTGTGTGGTGAGGGGCGCCCGGCGGAGTGGCGTGGTGGCTGCAGGCGAGGCTGTGCTGGTGAGGGGTGTGGGCCGAGCTGTGGTGGTGGTACTGAGAGGCGGGGAAGTGGCTGGGCCTGGAAGGTAGAGGAGACACAGGGCATGGTCACAGCCATACCTAAGGCATACCATGTGTCCAAACACGGGGTTCCTTGGCACCTCGACAGCTACCTTACCCACTGAAGTGGAAAAGTGTTCTGGGCCCCCTGACCTTTTTGTGCTCAGAAGTCCCCTACATTCATATATACACTCAGAAGAGAGCAAAAATATACTACTGTGCCCTGTGAGGTGCCTCTCCCAGATCCGGTACTGGAGATGTATGTCAAAGCTGTTGGATACAATCACCTCTCGTCTGTGACACAGCTGACCGAAGTCTGGTACCTGCCTACACCTTCTCTCGGGACTGTCATAAGGCTCTCTGGAGCTCTGGGGCTGCCCTGGGTAGGTGGCAGGAAGCTGGAGGAAAATGAGAACAAATCTTTTGAGTCTACCTCCCCAGCTATCTTATACTAATGTCCCAGGCAGCACAGACCCTGGCTAGAGCCAGAATCCCAGGACTCAATTCTGAGGTAAAACGCCTCAGCCTCTTAGTGCATGAGCTCCTGTCAACAGTACAGTGAACACAAGTCTTCAAGACAGCAGGCACACTGCAGTGTGGACTAGAAGAAGGGTAGATGCTTGCCACAAGCCCTGATTTTCTTTACCTCCTAGTCCCCCAGAGGTTACAGTGGGCCCTACATCCTGGAACCAGAGCATCCATGCAGAACCCATCCTCACCAGCACTGGGGTCTGGGGGTCCGAACTCCAGGCTATAGCGCACCACAAAATAGTTGTTCCACACATAGAGCTGGTTGTCCCGAGGATTGTAGTCAACAGAAGATACGAACTGGTAGGGGTTGGGGAAGGCCAGACTGACTGGCTCCTCTCGGTTTGCATTGGTGTTGAAGGCGTAGTCCACGCGGTTGCCTGCCGCCTCGCTATCGTCATCCACATAGACGGAGCGCAGCACGTAGAGGACACCGCACACCATGAAGGCATTGGAGGCCGAGCGCTTGTCATAGCCCGTTTCCCACGTGCCCTCAAAACGCAGTGTGTAGGGGTTGAGCTGGCTCACCACCAAGCGCCCGTTGTTTCCCTCGGTTGCATAGATGACCCACAGTCCGTTCTCATCCACTGCCAGGTCAATGTCGGTTTTGCCTCCCCAGCGGTAGGGTGAGGTGTCGTGGTAGTTGGCTGTGTTTATGACTGTCTCACCGCTCTTGATGCGGGTCCGCAGGTCGTATTTGACAATGTTGCGAGTGCGCTCCTTATTGTAGAAGACCGCACCATCGTAGACCACGAAGCCAGTGCCGTCCACACGGTTGGGCAGTCTGTATGTGGTGGTGTGGCGTGCGGCCACATAGTCCTCCCACGAGGCATATTCAGTCAGTGTGTCCGTGCGGTAGGGAATCCAGGGCATAACGTAGATACGGTCACCTGCCTGCAGTGGGTCCTTGCACCATGCACCAGACTGATGCTCTGACTCATGTGTAGAGGTGGGTTCCAGCACCTTCTGCAGGGTCCCTGGACACACGAAGACTGGGCCGGGTGGGTGGGTAGGAGGAGGTGGGGAGGAGCAGAGGCAAGGAGAGAGGGGAGAGAGAGGCAAGTTGGTCACATGGTGGGGGAGGAAACCATGCTGTCCCCTCCTGCTGCTGCAGTCATGGTTGCTTGGTCGGGCTGGTGATGGGAAGGGGGTTTGTGGGCTGGAACTCCCGCCCTGCCCAGCTGCCCCTCTCCCTGGAGCTGTGAACCCTGGAGACCATCAAGAGCAGGGTTAGTGTGGGAAGGTGGTGCCTCTTCCCTTCTTTGGCTGCTAGAGACCCTACAGGCTGGGGAGAAAGGATCTGGCCGGAGCTCTCCCAGACTGGGCACGAGGGTGTGGGCAGTGGGGTCCTCTGCTGCAATCCCACCTAGCCTCCAGGTTCAGGCCTCAGCACCCTGGCCTCTCTTCTCTGCCTCTAGCCTCCAGGTTCGGGCCTCAGCACCCTGGCCTCTCTTCTCTGCCTCTATGGAAAAACTAGGGGCTGGGATCCCACCCTTCACCAGCCATGCAATGGTAGACTTTCTTTTTTCTTAAAACAAAAACAAAAACTTCACTTTCTTCCTCCTCCAAAAGCTGCGAGGTAGAGTGCTGTTTCCACACGCACTCTGTCGCGGAGGCTTAGGGCTGTCTATCCTCCTGCTCGGGTCCCTGATGCTGTCTGGGCTCCTCTCAGCTGGTACCCGCCAAGTAGGTAGCTGAGGAAAGGATGGAGGGAAGCAGCTCCTAGGTTAGGCTGGGGAGGAGTCCAGTGCTGCCCCAGCCGGCAGGGTCTCTGGCGGCTCAGGTTCAGAAGCACACACTGACACTGGTGCACAAGGGTGGAGTGGGGCATGGAGAACAACAGGACTCCCGGGACATTGGGGGTAAGGGAGCTGTGCAGAGGGAAGAGAGACAAGGAGGGGTGTGTGTGTATCCACAAAGTCCTGGCTCCAAGGGCGGCTCTGGAGACCACCTGGGAAGAAAAGGTTAGTGCTGGCGAGGAGAGAGGGGTGAGCAGAGAATTCACTCCAAGGCCCGACTGAGAGTCCCTTCAGGGGCAGTCCCAGGTCCAGCTCGGAGGGGGCAAGGGAGGGAACCAGGTGCTAGGATAAAGCCCCAGCCCACCCCAGACAACCCCCCACCTCCCCTGCCCCGGACCCCGATTTACCTGTGACCATCCCCGGCTCAGGAGGAGGGACCAAGGCAGCGCTGATGTCAGAAAGGTGGGGGGCCCCGCCCCACCCCCCCATTCCCTGAAAAGAGGAAAACCTCAACTGCATCTCGTTGGCACCGCTGGCCTGCCCACCCTTGCCCCTCACAGCCCAGCACCACCTGTTCCTAGCCTACCCTACTGATCCAGCAGGTCAGTGTGGCCAACCCCCTTCTCTGCCCTGAGTACTGTGGGCCAGCCCCTTCCCTCAGAAGGGCTGGTACCTCCCCCTCACTTCATGACAGAACCCGCAGGCAGGCCAGGGCTGTAGGGTGTGTGCGTGGGGGTCTATGGTGAATTCTCTGCTCCTGCTTGGTCCATCACCAAAGCAGCTAGCCCCAGGGGCACAGGGAGGGCTGAGATGACTTGGCACCAGCATGGTGGGCAGCCTCAGTTGTGAGGGACCCCTGGGTAGGAGCCAGGTGTAGTGTCTACTTCCAGCCTAGCTCATCGGCAAGGCTCACATGGTTGGAGATATGTGCACTCTGTATCTCTCCCTTCACAGCATTGGGGCAGCTTGGCACCAGGCCACTAGGCACAAGGTGGCCAGGAACAACCCTTTTACCCAAAGTGAAGCCTGGGTTCTGAGCCCAGCATTCCTGTCAGCTTGATCTGTACCCTCTGACCAGACTACTTGGCCCCCACCCTTTTTTTTCCTGTTCCCCAGGTCTTTCCTCTATCCCACAGAAACCCCTGCCAGGGGTGTGTGTTCATGAAGGGGGCCTGAGCTAGTCAGAGGGTACCAGTGGAGAAAAACACAGTTAGAGGTCATTCCAAGGAAGGGGGAAAGATGAGGAAGGGTTTGCCAGGGGCCTTGGGCAGCAAGGACCCCTCCTCAGCACCCAGCTCCCAAACACCTCTTCCCTCCCCCAGCCCAACCCGGAGAGGAGATCCAGTGCCGTGGTTCCAAGCCTGCAAGAAGAGTGGCCAGTGCAGGGCTGACTCAGGAGAGCAAGGGAGGGGTGGTGCCCAGGCCTCTGAGATGGGCAAGGTGGGACGCGAAGGGGAGGGGAGCAGCTCAGAGGGACCCGCCCACCTCCCCAGAAAAGGGATCCTCCACAGACCACCTTAATTTCAAGGCAAGAGGGACCCCGAAGGGCCATCTCACTGTTGGTCCATTGCCCTACTACTAGCAGGTCCCCCTCTACTCCCTGGCCCATAATGGATAGCCTCATCCACCACCATGGAGCTCCCTGCAAGAAATTATGGGGCCTGTGGAAGTCCCCAGAGCAAGTCTGTGACCCTCACCACCCCTCCCTGGTCCTCTCCCACATCAGCCCGGAAGAAACCCTGACTGCAGCTTTGCAAGTGTGCAGAGACAGAACCCACTCCCACCCTCTCCAGGAAGCCCACCCCCACCCCCATCCCAGGGTTTTGGTAGGCTGCCCCCTCCCAGGGGACTGGGATAGCTGACAACCCTCCCCAGGACTAGACCCGACTGGCCAGGAGGGTGAAGTCTGAGGAGACTGGTTCTCTGTGCTCACAACAGCTCTGGGCCTGGGAAACGCCAAACCAGAAGAACTCAAGCCACCAGGAGCCAGAGAGAGAGGAGAGATCTGGTCCCTCAAAGGAAAAAGTGCCCCTCCATCCCACCACCCTTTACCAGAAACAGTTTGCAAGAGGTATAAGGGGAGAGAAGAGAGAAGAGAGAGGTGGGGAGAGGAAGAGGAAGGGAAGGGAGAGACAGAGAGCGAGGAAGAGAGACCTCTACCGGTGCCTGCGGAGGCTGGGGAGTCCCTCCCTCCCCACCCGCCTGGAAGCTTACACATTTCTCCTAAGGGAGGCAAAAGAAATGAGAGATGAGGTCAGGGACCCTGCAGGGACCAGGGACCAGAGAGGTACAGGGGGCGTGAGAGGAGAGAGAGAAAGAGAGACGGGTGTAGGAGTGGGGTGAGAATCTTGCCCAGGCTCAGAGAGGAGCTTCCGTGAGTATCTGGAGGGTGGAGAAGCCAGCCCATGGCCATGGCCTTGGCCTTGGTGGTGCTGCAGCACCAGGGCCAGCCCAGCTGTGCCGGGAGGACACCCGGGGCAGGGAAATCACTGGACCAAGTAGGGTGGGGGAGAAGAAGGGGGAGGGGTGGGCCACATGAGTATGGTACGGGTGGAACAAAGTGTGAGTTAGGGGTTAGCATTGGTAACAGTGCGTTTACCTTTCTGCTCCACTTCTACTTTAAGCATCGGAAGAGAGAGAGAAAACAAATTGAAAAAAAATGTGCAAGAAAAAAAAAGAGAAAAAAAAAGATTAAATTGCTTTCGTTTCTTTTCTGGCCACACGCCCCCTCTTCCTATCTTTCCTCCTGCTTTCCCAACCCCTTCCGTAGCATCCTTTCAGCCCCCACCCCCAAGTCCCTTCTTTTGGGGTAGGATGGGGTGAGAGGGTGCTGAGGAGAAAGTGAGAAGGGTCAGGGGACACACAGGGGGGAGGAGACAAAGAGACTGGGTGTGGTACAGACAGGCAGGTAGACAGAGCCCTCAGGCAGGAGGGGCCCCAGGTAGAAAGAGGAGCCCCAAATAGGAGCTGAACTCTGGCTCGGGGGACACCAGGCAGCAGGGAACCACTGGGCTCCTCTTCACCCTGTGTGCTAACACTTCTGCTAGAACCAGGGGCAGAGAAAGGGGTTCTCTGGGGCCTGGGTGCCTCTCTCAGCCAAGAGCACAGGCTGAGCCCCTTCCCCTTTGAGTAGCCCCACCTGAATCCAGCTGTGGTCCCCTAAACCCTCCAGACCCCTGAAACGCACAAAGAGAGGCTGGTACAGCCAGACACAGAACAACGGAGGTAGGCAGGGAGGTGCCCCAGACAGAGCCAGGGTAGGGAGACAAGAGGCACAGAGTTGGAGGGACAGAGACTGGGCTGGACAGCACGTGGCAGACAGGCTCCTACACTCCCAGGGGTGGGGGTGGGGTCTCAAGGTTCAGCTGCTCTGCCCAGTCCACCAAAGGCCCAGAAGCCCTAGCTGCACCCTGCCCTGCCCACCGCCCTCGATGACGCACAGGTGGCACCTGGGGAGGAAGGGAGAGTTAGGCTGTGCTCAGCTGCAAAGCAAATCCAGTGTTAGTTCAATGTCTGGGGTTCCCACACTCCAGTGATTCCCTCCCCCAGCTGTGGGATCCCTGCCCCCACCCCTGCCCCACCTTCACCAGCACTGGGGTCACCCCAGCCTCTGAAGCCCAAGGTCCTGTGGCTGACCAGGTCGATCCCCTCTGGGTACCCGCTTGAGTTCTGCGGGGACCCTGACTGGCTCCCCAGCGCCTCGCCCCAGGGCCTAGCACTCAGGATATGCTCAGGGAAAGTCATGGAAGTATGTGCCTGTCCTCTCCCTAGCTTTAGTTATTCCTGGACTCCAACCCCAGTGATTGGTGGTGGGGGCACAGGAGCTGATTGAACTGGGTCTTTTAGCTCTGCCTGTCCAAGAGCACTTGTGGGCAGTCCTACCCACAGTACCAGCTGTGTGTGCACTGTCTTCGAAGGCTCATTTGCATTCTCCTCAGTCTAAAGCTGCCACCCCTGCCCTGAGTCACCTCCATAGCCCATCTTCTAGGGTTGTGCTCCTGGGCCACACAGGGGGTTTGGCTCTAGGTCTCTAAGCTCCACTCAGGACCCATAGCCTCTTCTTTTTTCCAGTTCGTCTGCCTGTCTGGAGAGCTGGGTTTACTGACTGTTGCTAGTCTTATTTTGATTACCATGGCAACAATAGTAACTGGTTAGAAGTGCTGTGTAGTCACAGTGACAGCCAGTGCTCATGAGGATGTAGAACAGTCAGGCCTACCACCGGACCCTGACTACAGCTGGGGAAACTGAGGTTCAGGGAAGTGAAGCCACACAGAGGAGGCCCTGCAGCTGCCATTCTCTCAGACTCTATGGTGGCCTAGGTGAGGCACCTAGCAGCTTGGGCCTCATGCTGTCTACTGCTTGAAGGACTCAGGGCACGCTTGGACCCCCTCCCCCATGACAGAGGAGTTAGGAGGCTCAGGTGGCGGGAAAGAGCGTCCGTACCATCACTGAGCACATCTTGAACCAGGTTCGGGGCTGGGCGCTGGGGGGGGTGAAGTCGCAGCCTCTGCCTTCGGGGCTTTGCTCCTGGGAGCAGACTCTGGCCGCAGGGCCAAGCGCTTGTCACTCCCGATCTCCAGGACTCACGCCTCCGTCTGCAGCACCCGAAGAAATTTTAAGTCATTTGCTGCAGGTCTCAGAGCCAGACAAGTCAGGAGCCACAGTCAAACATGCCGCCTGGCCAACCCCCTGTCCTAGACTTGCCACGTCCCCCCTCCCTCCCTGCTGCCCCAGCTGCAGGCAGGCAGTGTCCCCAGTGCTGTGGGGAGGCTTCAGGGAGCAGACGGGCATCCCCCTCAGGCGGTGGAAGAAGGAAGGCCTCAGGCACTGAAAGGAAAGGGCGAAGACTAAAAGAAGAAAGTTACACGAGCAGTCAGTGACCCTGTTCACCCATCCTCCTGGCTTCACCTGCAAGGAGAAATCAGAGGTTGGAGGAGTGGGAGTGGGAGAGCTGGGGGGGAGGGAGAGGAGGGAGAGTTATGAGGTCTCCTGCTCCCCTGCCCCCTCACTTGGACACCCTGAGGGTCTTGTCTCCTCCCCCTTTGCCTAGAGGGCCTCCCTACTTCCAGGCTGGCTATGTGAAGCCAAGTGAGAGGACAGAAGGGGCGATGGGTGAGGAGGGAGGAGAGTGGGCGGGAGACTGGTGATGTTGGACGCTGAGGATGAGCAAGCCTCTGTCTGCTTCCCTTGGTCAGATGCGGGGTAGTTAGGCCCTGGCTTCCAAAGATCATCTTGGGGGCACTGTCAGTCCAACATGGCAGCACTTCCTTTGTGGACAGGAAGTGTTCTCAGGGTAATACATAAGGAGGGTGTGTGGGGGAGGCGATGAGTGTGAGTGAGGGCTGTCAGGAGGGAGGCAGAGCAGGCGGAAGGCTGGAGAGACAGACAGCAGCATGCTGCAGGAGTGTGGCTCGGAGGGGCTTTAGCAAGCAAGGACATGTGAAGAAGCAGGGAGTGGGCAGGTACCAGAGCTGAAGATGCTCCTACAGGAAGGGACAGAGTACAGTGGGACAGCAACCACCAAATGTGGACAAGTGTCTATGAAAAGAATGTGTCTGAGTGGGAGCAAGCCTGCTGCCCTGTGCCCAGCCCTATGGATGTGTGCGTGTGTGTGCATGTATACTGGTCAAGGTTCTCTGGATGTGTGCACGTGTACTGGTCAAGGTTCTCCTATGGATGTGTGTGCATGTGTGTGCGCATGTGTACTGGTCAAGGTTCTCCTTCCCTGCTCCACTGGGGGAAGGGCCCAAGACAGCATGAGGAACAAGATGACTCACTGTAAGGGACACAGTCGTACTGCACCTCCAGGTACTTGTAGGTTCCAGGACAGGGGTCAGGAAAGGCATCGGAGCCGGCCACCACCACGCACTGGGTTCGGTTATTACACCTACAGATGGAAAAGGGAAAGGGGGCTGAGAATAAGGGACTGAGACTCAGAAGGCTCTAGGGTCAGAAGACAAACATCTTCCAAATGGGAAGGCGCTACGGAACGCAGAGACTCAGTGCTCTTTTGCTTCCTGCCTGCTTCCTGCCCCACAGGTCTCTATAGCCACAAGGCAGGTTCTCCCTGGACTAGTTCACCTTTGGCAGTTTTCTTTAAATTGAGTGTAAAGTTCCTGTCCCGGTTACTAAAAAGCACACACATTACCACATGTGATGGGTACCTTTGCAAATGAAACCATGCATAGAAGACTTAGTGCCTGCTGTGACCATCTTGGCTCTTCCCGTGGACATTGCCACACTCTGGACGGTATCTGAGAGGGTCTACAGCTAGCACAGCCAGAAGACTCATGAATCTCTACAGGGAATTCACTGATCCCGACCCTGTTGGTTTCTCCAGGATCTAGCCAGTATGGAAAAGTATGCCTTATTTTACAACTCAAAAATACCATCACAGTCATTTGTCCACATTTGGTGGCTGCTCACCCAGCCTACAGACACTGCTCTGTCCTGCAGGGGCATCCTCAGGTCCAGTCACCCCACGGATCCTGGCCCATATGACAGGGCGGGTGTCCTCAGGTCTGTCTGCCCACGCCCTGAGGCTTAACATTAGTCGTCACCATCATCAGTGCTCAGCTAAGGTTCCTGTAATGGTTTATTTTCGTTGTCAGCTAGACTGGGTTTAGAACTGCCTACGACATTTATCAGGTGTGCTTCTGGGTATGTCTGCGAGGGTCTTGCCAGAGAGAAGACCCACCCCAAATGTGGACAACCTGAGGCAAATCCCAAGACTGATGCAACAAAAGCAGGGAGGGAGAAAGGCAGAACGCACACTTCCCTCTCTGCTTCCTGGCAGCCATGATGTGGACAACTGTGTTCTGCTACACACCCCTACTGTGATGTACTGAACTCTGAAACCCAGAGCCAAAGGAAGCCCTTCCTTAAGTTGTTTCTATAAGGTCACAGAGACAAGAAACGCAGCCAACACCATTCCCTGACCCTGGAGTACCAGGCAAGGTGTGTGCCTGGAGGTGGTGCACACATCTTTAATCCCAGCACTCGGGAGGCAGAGGCAGGTGGATCTCTGAGTTTGAGGCCGGCCTGGTCTATAGAGTTGCAGGGAAACACAGAGAAGCCCTGTCTTGAAATCTAAAAAAACCAAAACTCAAAACAAACAAAAAAGTAACCAGAATCTGTCTCTAGTTCTTCCCGGCACCAGGAAGGACAAAGAGATGAAATCAGCAGGAGGCCAGGGAGGAAATGGAGAACTAGGCATCGAAAGGTCCGGTATTATCTGCCCACCCAAATCCTTTCTTTAAAGCTCAGCAATGACCTCACACAGCACGGCAGTCCTGGTCCTCAGCACTGTGCTCTATAGAATTTATAACAAGTGTGTGAATGAACCTTCAACACACATACATGTTCATGGCTGCATTGCCTACTTCCACCAAAAGGGGGCGAGAACACAAAAGCCTGCCCTTGAGGAATACTGAGCAAAATGTAGCCTGTTTGAGATCTTGGTCGCACCACTGGTCTAACAGCCTTATAAAATGTAGCCTGTCCACATGACAGAATGGTATCTGGCCAGGAGAGGGGCTATGGTGCTGACTCATAACCTACGAAGGATCAATTCCAACAATGACTCTGAGGAGAGGCTGCATGGAGCAGGCTGCTGTATGCAGAGATAGGGCCTAGGCAAATAAACCCCTGGACAGAGACTACAGAGCTGGGGCAGCAGGAGACGAGGAAGCAGCTGATAAGGGCCATATGTTTTCTGAAGCCATAGAATCCTCTGGAACGAAGCTGAGCTGGTAAATGTACAAAATTTGCCAAAAGCATTTACTTTAGAGTTTTAAATTCCAAGGGTAAGTGTAGTCCAGTGGCAGAGTACTCATCCCCAGCCTTGCACCCCACACTCCCCTGAAGGTGCAGTGAACTACCATGGGAGAGCGGGTGTGCATCTGTCTTTAAGAGGTGGGACTCCTGAAGGTGGAAACACTACGGCCCAGCAAAGGTTTGTGCCAACTATCCTGTGGCATCTGTCCAAGCAGCTTGGCCATGACCCTGACAGACACAAAGTTGTAGCATTCGGAGAGGAAGCAAGGTTGAGGGGCCCCAAAGCCTTCCCCACAGTTTCGGAGGCCCCAGGATGCTCCTTGGCCCCTGTAACTCACTACTCAGCCTCCTGTGTGGAGGAAGACATAGATATAACTCTGTTCTAGCTGTGTGGACATTGTGGAAAGGAACCAGGGTGCTCTCAAGGGAGCAGGACCTAAGTCATGGCTGGGAGGCTGAGGTGTCAGGAGAATCGGGGAAAGGTGGCAGTTCCAGCCTCACACACTTTGAACCAGCCGGTCTCCCGTGTCCTGTGAGCATCTGGGGGCTTCCTCTCCCTGCCGACTATGCCACACCCAGCCTACTTCCCTTTTCTACCATGCTACAGATCAACAAGCAGGCCCTGAACTCTGACCTCTCAGGCATCAAGTGAGAACCTGCTGTGTACCTGGCTATAGCCATAGCAGCAAAGGACAAAAGTCTGTTGTCTCTGTATGGCCAGTAACTTAGAATTAGGGAGTACATAAGATGAAATACCAAGAAAAGACTAAATAAATGATGGAATATGGTTGGAAGGCAGGGCCCTGAAGGGGTCAGGAAAAGGGTAGGGACCTAGAGCTTCAGAGTATGCAGAAGTGTCCAGTTAGGTAGACAGCCACAAGAAAGCATAGAACACCACATGTCTCTCAGGGCAGAAGCAAGGATATAAAAAAAACAAGACCAAGAACAAAAACCCAGCAGTTGGCTTTGTTACTTCCCAGCTAACAGGCCAGGTTCCTGTGGCCCACAGATCCCATGAAGAGTGTGACAGACCAATAGAGGAGGCTGGGAGCCTTTGGGCTACAAGGGCTTCAAATTCTGATGCATGTTTAAGTACTGAGAACTGAACCAGCAAGCATTCTACAGTGAGCTGCCTTGCATAGCTGTAACCGAGTGAGCGAACAGGAAAGGAGGACCATCAGTCAGGGCAGGCCACGTGGGAACCAGAGAGTTCTAACCAGAGGCATAGGATCTGACTCGTGTCCACCGACGCCCGCTGGCTACACAGGAAGAACGGACCATCACAGGCAAGATGGTGGCAGGGAGAGCAGGCGGGAGGCCCTGTCCCAGGACAGGTGCTTGTGGAGAAACTGGGTAGACTGACTATTCCAGTAGGTTGTGCAACTTTACATGTGGGCCAGCCCCGCCTGGTACATGTCCTCAGCCACATAAACACACCCTTACCCACACACATAACCTCCTCAAAGACACAAACACAAGCTGCACTGCACACACATGCTCAGACATCACACCACAACCACACTGTACAGTCACTGCCCCTGAACATGCTCAGGACAACTCTGCACACCAAAGCGCCCTGCCCTGCCCTGCCCTGCCTCAGCCTCTCACACTGTAAGCTATGAATAAGTGTTGTTCTTTGGAGAATCTTCTCCCTTTGCACCCATGATTCCTTTGCTTTGGTTCTGCAAGCTCCCACCTGAACCCAACAAGGGCAAGCATCTATGGCAGTGGTTTTCAACCTCCAAAGGGCTTGTATATTAGGATACCCTGCATCCGAGATATTTACAGCACAATTTAAACAAGAGCAGTTATAGTTATGAAGAAGCAAAAAAAATAATTGTATGGTTGGAGGTCACTGCAACATGAGGAGCCGTATTAAAGGGTTGGCGCCTTAGGAAGGCTGAGAGCCACTGCTCTATGGGGGTAAGTGACTTAGGGACACTGTCAGTGTGACACTGCTCCAGCTCACTTGGCCTCGTGCTCAGGGAGCTCCTGTGGGACATGTGGAGGTCAGAGAGCAGGCTCACCTCTGAGACATGATTTTGAAGGCGTCAGGCAGGTAGCACTGCACGTTCTCCATCTGGAAAGGGTCGGCATCGCAGATCTTGTCATCTGTGCGCCCGTAGTTTGCATTCTCCACCATGATGACGTCACTGCCCGGGCACCGCAGCTCAATGGGGTAGCCTTCACATGCTAGCTCCCGACGCATCAACCCAAATGGGAGCCCAGCCCGGCTCAGGCCTGCAGAACAGTTGGAGACAGTGTCACAGTCACCAGGGAATAAAGAACCCGTTGGCTCAGCCATGTTGGGAAACTGGTTATATGAATCTTGGGCCTATACGGCTGTAAGATAGCATTCAGTTTGAACCCCTGGAAAAGGGGTGATGTGCCCAGAGAGAGCTGACTCTTCACCTTGCAATGTCCTGCCTGCTAAGAGAGTAAACATCATCTTGGAGGTTATCAGACACAACTGTGTGTCCCCAAATCCTTTCAAAACACTCAAGAATATTTTTACACTTATTTTGTGCGTGTGTATGGGGGTGCACATGTAGAGGTCAGAGGGCAACTTGTACCTTTTATCAATGGTTCTGGCGATTGAATTCAAGTCAGGCTATGTGACAAACACCTCAATCCACCTGATCCATCTCACTAGCTGTCCCCCAAAATCTCATGCTGAACTGAAGAACTAAGGCCCCATACCTCAGAAAATGAGTGTACTTAAGGCAGTGTCTCTGGGGATTTTTCTCCCCCAACTACTAAACTGAGTTAGGGTCTCACATGGCCTAGGCTAGACTCAAACTTGCAATATAGCCTTGAACTGACTTTACTGCCTCCACTTCCCAAGCTAGGACTATAGACATGTGTTAGCATACCCCGTGTGTGCGCGCGTACGCACAAACACACACATACAATTGCTCCCTCAGACAGGCCTCAGTGACCCTACCATAGGGTCTATGCTGACCTTGAGCTCACTAAGTAGCCTGAGCTAGCCACAAGCCTACAGTAATCTTCCTTCCTGCCTCCAGTCACACACTGGGACCAGTATGCACCACCACGTCTGGCTTGGAGATGATGTTTTACAACGGAAACTAGTTTAAGATGAGGCTCTCAAAGAGGGCCCCATTCCAGTCTGACAAGGGTCCTTCCAGAAAGGAAGCATTCCAGGTGTGTTTCACTGTAACTGTTGCTATCCTACTAACACCCATGACCTCACACGTCTCAGGAGAGAACGCTCTACTGGACCTTTAATTCTGAGGTGAATTCTCAGTGACGTGCTTAGATTGGCCTTGGAACTGTGATTCTCCCACTTCTGCCTCCTGACTGGCTAGGACAGCAGGGCTGTGCTGCCACTCTTCACTCACTGAGGGACTCTCATGCGCCCAGGGAGACTATGTGCAGACATGGAGGGAGGGCTCCACTTGCAAGCTGCAGAGACCTCAGCAGGAGTTGGCCGGGAGGAGGACGGTCAGGATGGTGGGCTTTTGTTCTCCTCAACAAAAAGTGGGGTGGGCCGGTGGGTGGGTGGGTTGAAGGCTATCTCATCAGGGGATGAGAGGACTCAGGGAGGAGTCCTCTGGAGGAGTGGCTGCCATGCAGGTTATCAAACAAGTCTAGGGATGTGGCTTCAGTTAGGACGGGACAGCAGGACATGCGTCCCAGCAGAACCGTGCAGGAATTTACTACTCTGTTTCACCAGACTGAATCTGTCTTCCCTGAGCACAGTGGCTTCCGTGGCTGCTGCTGGCCCTCTGAGTGAATTATAGCTTGTCATCTGTCACAGTGAGAATGGTCCTGGGGATCTCCCTGCTCCACCACACACCATATAGGGAACAGACTGCACCCATGTAAGCATCCTGCCACTGACCTATGCCTACCTGTTTTGCTTATTATTTATTGTTCTGGGTCTTGCTGTCTGGCCCAGCCTGGCTTGAAACTCCCCCAAATTCTCAGATAACAAGCATGTGCCACCACACCCAACCTTTTACATGCTTAAGTTCAGAAAGCCACTAGTAGTAGCTTCCCCAGGCCTTGTTTTCCCAAGCTGTAAAATGGGTACCCATGGGTTAGGATCATACAGTTGAGTTTCTAGACCAAAGGAATTTTTTTTTTTTTTTTGAAACAGGCTCACACATAGCCAGGTAGCCTCAAAGTCTAAGTAGTCAAGGCTGGCCTTGAATTCCTGATCCTCCCCCTCCACCCTCAAATGCTGGTATCAAAGGAGGGTGGCATGTTGCCTCACAACAGAGAGCTCCAAATGACGGGTCCCTCTGTGACAATCAGAGCTGCACAGCACAGCTCTGAGTCCCAACTCTGCTGCTCCCTGGCCTGGCAAGTGGCTCCAAGTCCTAACTGGGCCCCAGGTCCCTGGTCCCAGGACCCTTTCCTGCTACCTATAGTTAATGTGCTGACAAGATGCTCACTGTTTTGTTTTAGTTTGTTATAGGTATTTTGCAGATCCGGGGTTAACATGTACCAGGCTGCCCTGGGAAACACTTGGGACACTGGCTACACCCACACAGGGAACAGGAGGGTAGAAGCTACAGATGTCGTGAGGGAGGCAACAGCTGGGAGCAAGCTAAGGGCTGTGAAAGGTGTCTGTACTGTGACAGCAGAACCAAGCTGCCCTCTTTAGAGGCAGGGTCCGCCTGTCGACAGAGTCCTCAGGGGTTAGAGCCCTCGGGTTTTTGGGGATGAGTAGAGCCCCAGTTGAGAGAAAGTTTCCCATGCGCGCCTGTCATGCCATCTGCTTCCTCCTCTAATTTTAGCTTCCCTAGTCAGGGAGGGAGGCCGGGGGTGGAGGGCTGGCTCACATGGGGCTGGGGGTGGAGGCAGCCCCTTCTGGCCTGGCAGGGGCTGCTCCCGGAACTTGGGTACTGGGGTGACCAGCAGGACCCTGCCAAGGCTTCAGAACAAGGCTGATAGTGTCCCTTCATTCCCGTGACTTTCCAAAGGACCAGGCTGGCAATGTGGGGAGGGGACCTTCTTGGAGAGGGCAAGGTCAACAGACTTCGTCTTAGCTTCTGTTGCTCTGTACCCAGCTGGTACCCCACTTGTGACAGTAACTAAGTCATCCACAGTGGGCAGCACGCTCAGTGGGCAGCACGCTCAGTGGGCAGCACGCTCAGGGCACTAATTGTGGCATGTGCAGGATCCCAGGCCAGAGCTGGGTAATTACTTGTTTTTAAATAAACGTCAGCAGGCATGCTTTAATTAAGCCTTGGTCCCAGTGAGACTGAGATGTGCTGAATGAGGGAGGGGAAGACAGAGAAATAGGTGGCCCCCTGGAAGGCCTGTCTCAGTCCTCGAGGTCCCCAAGAAACACAGCACCTGGTGCCCTGGCCTGCTGGGCGTTCAACATCCCTCAATGGTGCCTGCTAAGAGTGGCATCACCAGGTTCCCTCTGGCCTGGTCCAGCTTCATCTCGGGTAGAAGCTGCAGTCCATACAGAATTCATATTGCCCATCCTCCCATCTGGGTCTGGAGACCCAGCCCTTCCCAACACCTACCTTGGGTGGCAGAGGTGACGAGGATAGTCGTCACACAGAGACTCCAAAGTGCTGCAGCCAAGCGGGCCATGTCGAAGGCCAGGGGCGGGCACAGGGATCTCAGCGGACTGTGGGGGGGGCCTTGCCCCGCATCACCAGGGTACCACGGCCTGGCCCACCAGCCTGTAGGAGGACAGGGGATGATACTGGGCAGGAGCTGACCTCAGCAAGCACAGTTAATGGTGAGGCCCTCCCTGGGCCTTCTGCACGCTGAGGGTGCACACGGCCCTGCCCCAGGTCACTCTCCCCAGCATTGGTCTCTCTTCTCCAGTGGAACCTCTGGGGGCAGCTTGATAGGTCAGCGTGTCTGCCAAGCACCCACCCACCCACCCACCCCAAAGCTGCTTCAACCTCATCCCTAACCCCTGACCCGCTCTTCTCCACCACCAAGCATCTTTATCCCTCAAGGAGGGCAAGGGGTGTCTAACCTGAGCTTAGCTTCAGCTCTGGGCTGGAATCCAGCCCCGCCCCAGCCTCTGCTTCCTGTCTCTCTGCTCTGGCAGCTAATTAGAATCCAGCTGGCTGGCGCCACAGATAGGGGACCAGGGACACCCAAGTCCCCTCTTTCCTTTCTAGGGGACTCTCGGGGTAAGCTGGAGACAGGCAGTCGGGGTGGGGGGAGGAAGAGTAGGAACCAAGGATGTAGTGATGGCCTCCTTGGTCACAAGCTCCTCCCAGGCCATCAGTTGTGACTTGCAGTTTCTTCCTCCCCTACTCTCTGCTCCTGTGACGTCCATACCCCAGTTTTCAGGGCCACATCAGCCTCACCTGCCAACAGCCTAGAAGAACTCACTCTAGGATGGGCCTCTAGAGGAAGCATCATGGTGTCCCCAGCCTGCCCCTTCCACTCCATTCCAACAGGCCCCAGTCTCTTCCTTCCGGTACGGGATCCCTCGGCAGGGCTCTGCTGCCCTCTCTCCCCCCACTTAAAAGCCCCCGAGAAACCACCTACCACGACCACTTAGGTCTCTTTCTCCATTCTGCTCAGCCTCGGCCTGCCTTGGGGCTTTGCATGTGTCTGTTTCTCTGTGCACTTACAACTCACAGATATCCGCAGGGCTGGCTATCATTCTGCTCATGCGGAACTATTTATCTGGGTAGGAAACTGCCATCCAGAGACCTAGATATCTTAGTTAATGACCACCAGACCCAACTTCTAGAGCAAGCCCTACACACTGAGAAATCGTATTGACTGAATCTCAGACCTACTGCTTCCTTCTCCTCCTGCCATCTCCCTCATGAGTTCCACGGCAGGTATACTTCTGTGTATAGTCCCCACTCTGCCCCTCACCTTCCAGAGCTAAGGGACAGGTGACATGGTTCATCTCAAACCTCAACTTTCCTCTACTCCAAAGGTAGCACCCTGCTGGCTTGTCAACCCTACCTCTCCTTTCCACCCTTCTTGCTCACAAAAGCTTCCAGCCCCCACCACGCCCCCACTCTGGGATGCTCCCCTATGACGCCCAGATTGTATGCAAATCAGCAGTTCACCAACGCCATTGGCTTCAGCCTTAACTCCTGCTCCCAGCCACCCTCGACCCTGCATGGTGGCAGGTCTATCAGTAAGCCCCTGTCCAGGGCTATGTGTCCTTTCAAAACCATACCCAGCTCTCTTCTTAGCTGCCAGGCTCCATGTAGCCACCTTCCTCCCTCACCCTGCCCAGACATGGGTGGCTTGGGCATCTGCTGACCACTTATACTGGGATAGACCTGGTTAGCCCTCATCACCCCTCTCCTACCCAGGCAGTCATGGGAAGCAGTCTTCACCTGCCTTTCCTAGAGCTTTCTTTCCAGCTGTGCGAAGAGCCTCGGAGGTAGAAGGAACTGAAAATGCAAAGGGTTGGCTCACTACACTCACTCACAGGAGGCTCTGCTGCGGGTCCAGGTCCCCAAAGTCGAGTCACCTTGAAATAATCGAGGGCTGGGTCTATCCTCCACCACCCCTCCCCCAGCCCTACTCCCTCAAGGATGTAAAATTATTATCATACGGTTATGAGAGTAATAATCTCCACACAAGTGAGTGGGCTTATCAGACCCTCACCAGGCAGGGAGTAAGATGGGGTGGGAGGACTGGACACCACAGTGATGGATGGGTGGACGGGCAACAGCATGGGACTAAGTCTTCCCCAAGTCTGCATTCTCGATGCAGAGACCCACCCAGTTCATGACCTAAGGCCCTTCAGCAGCAGAGGCTTCAGCAGGACCAGACCACGAGAACCCTCCCTCCTATCCACCAGCAGCAGCCACCTTCCAGGGCCAGATCTCAGAAGCCCAGACCCTTTCCTGTTCTGAGTGAGTCAGGGGTCTGTCCTCACTGTATCCCTTTGTCCTAATGCTCTAGGCTTCCTGCAGGCTGAGGGATGCTGTGTCTTTAAACACTAACACAAGGGATGTAGAGAGATGAAGTTGTGGTTAAGGCCATTTGCCCTTGCTGAGGACCTGGTTCAGTTCCCAGAACCCACATGGTGGCTCATAACCACCTGTAACTCCAGTTCCAAGGGGATCAGATGCTCTCTTCTAGACCCCTGAAGTCACCAAGCACAGAGATGGTGCAAATACTCACAAGAAAAACATACCCATATACATTATATATAAAATACGACATAATTTAACTCATTTAAACTATGTGTTTTCTTCTAGAGTGCAGATGAAACCTAGGGCCTCCCGAATTCACTAAGAATTCATTCTACTTGTGAGCTGCATCCCTCAGCCTCCGAACCACTTAAGATACAGTAAGTGGTATTAATTACAGGGTCATTTTGACTGCTTGGTTTTTGAGTAACCCAAGCTGGCCTTTATACTCACAACAGTCCTCCTGTCTGTCTCCTGCAAGCTGGGATTACAAGTGTATGCTATACCTGGCTTCACTTACCATTACCTTGCTAAAGGGCTTTACTATGCTGCCCAGGCCTCTGCTCTTGGACTCCAGTGACACTCCTATCTCAGCCTCTCCTCTACTGGGAGCCAGAAACCAGTGCACCAAGACTCCCCTAGTGGCTGTTGGTTCTGCAGTCCACTCTAGGCAAGTGTCTTTCCAAGGCACTATACCAGGTCCTTTATTCTAGCTTCTTAAGGCTGGAATTGTGTCCATGTGACACTCTGTGGGCTAGAAGCCAGCTTCTTAAACCATGGGTTGTAGCCTCATGTATCTGAAGGTAGGACTGTGAAAAGGCCACCAGCTTCTCATAACTGACCAAAACCTAACTCAAATAAAGCACATGGAGAAGCAGAGGCATTTCTGGCAGGGCTCGTCTGAACTGCACTGTAGAGAGACCTGTGGCTTCTTTTCCTTTCTTCCCCTTCTAGCAGGGGGTGTGATTGGATTGGCCAGCTGCAGATAGCTTTTGCAAGTGTGTGACATTTGGCATTCTGGGGGTATATAAATTCTTTAGAGGGTATACAAATGCTAGGACCCCAAGAGCCGTTTGGTGGGTTGTTGGTTGGTTGCCATTGTATCATTGCAAAGAAGAAACAAGAAGAAATGAGATCTCCAGCCAGCGAAGATCAACTTGCCCCAAGGAACTCGATGCCCCTCATCAGCAGGAAGTAGTCTTAACGATGAGGTCATCCCTTCCCCTCCACCCCCTTTTCAGTCCTATCTAGGGTTAGGAGGCTGAAAGGGTGGAAGAAGAGGGTGGAGGACAGAGGAGAAAAGAGTCCACTAAGTAGCCGAAGCCTGGCTACTCTGCAGTCTTGGTTCTGAGTCTAAGACATCTGCCGCACATGCTGTGGTGTCACTTATCGCCTACGCAGTGAGTACCTTGTCTCACAGGCTAGACTGCCGTAGGTGCGCTCTGCAGTGCTGACTTCCTCCAAAGTTTTCTGCATTTATAAAAACATGGTGGTTTAATATGGTTTAGTTATGGGAAAACAAGAGCTTTTACTATTTCCCTACTATCATTCCAAAGCACACAAGTATCAAATTCGTATGTCTTTGGATTGCATTATGATTTTTACATTTGTTTGAGAGGAAGCTGGGAAGATGGCTTTGTGAACTACCGCTGGGTATGGTGACAAAAGACTCTGCTCCCAGTACTTGGGAGGCCGAGGCAGGTAGGTGGAGCTCTGTGAGCTCAACACCAACTGGTGAGTGCAGGAAATTCTAAGACAGTCAGAGTTGCAGAGTGAGACCTTGTATCTAAAAAGTAAACAAAAGAAAAAATAAAAAATAGCAATCCGTTCATTCGTTCTTGTGTGTGTGTGCGCGCACGCATGCGCGTGTGCCCGTGTGTGTGCCCGTGTGTGTGTACACTTGTCCCTGTGCACACTTATACCATTGTGTACAGCATCCCATAGAGGATACTGGATCCCCTCAACAATTAGTCTCTATAGCACTGATGCTGTATCAGGAATCCATGCAGTCCCAGGAAGGGTTAAAGCTTCTAGGGTAGGGTATGCAGAGTCTTGCAAATGCCACACTACTTCACAGACAGCCCCAAGCTCTGACTTAGTTTCTCATTGCTCTAAGAGATAGGTCTGATCTGAAGAGGCCTGCAAGCTGGGCTTCTGTCAAGGGCTCCCTCCCTGCCCAGCATGCAGGCCCTTCTCATGTGCCCTCACTCAGCCTTCCTGGGTGTGCAGGAGAAATATCCCTGCGCCTCTTGTGTTCTTATAAGGACACCAGCAGTTCCCCTAGCTGGGACCCATGACAGGGACGCAGTTAACCTCAGCTGCCCCACCCACTAAACACCTTAGTGCTCATGCTAGAGGAGGCCAGAGGCACTGGATCCCCAACACGACTGACGGAAGTGCTGAGAACTTCACTCGGGCTCTCTGGAAAGGCAGGCCTCATGGCCCTAACGGTGTGCCTGTGTCCATCTCTTCAGCCTTCAAACGAGTATTTATAAAGGGGCCAGGGCATGGCAGACTATACCTTGTCTTCAGTCACTCTCCATCTTACTATTCTGAGACATGGTCTCTTCACCAGTGGGTAGCGTGCCTGGCTAGCAAGCTCTCCAGTCACTCTGCAGCCTCGGTCCCCCGGTCTTCACTGGGGTTACAGATGCACACTGCCACATATGAGGCTTTATGTAGGTTCTGGGGACTCAACCTCAGGCTGGCCT